AAGTAAGGGTATTCTTTATTAAAAGTTCAATTTGAATGTTATCCGTATTTTATTGAACTCAGAATATAAAAAAAAATATTTAAATGGGGCAAGAAAACTGCCCCGCTCCGCCCCGTTGCCATCACTAATCTCAAGTGTTATGTTTACTTTAATTCAAAAATGAAGTAAATTCTTTGAAAATTCAAAAATCAGGTTTGTATTTAATTAATTAAAAATATTCATTAAATAAAGATAATAAATTCATAATTACACGATTAATGGTCATAGATTCATAATTATAGGTGACATATTTATTTACTGGTCACATATCGTCAAATTAATTGGTAGTAAATTATTTTGTGGTAACAAATCAAATATTTCGAGGTCACAAATGATTTAAGCTACATGTCACATTTTATTTATAGGTCACATTAATGGTCACAAATTCATAATTATCGATCACATATTTATTCACTGGTCACATATCATCAAATTAATAAGCCATATATTATTTTGATGTCACATATCAACATTTTTGTAGGTCACATATTTATTTTTAAGTCACAGGTCATTTAAATTATATATCCTATTTTTTCTATAGGTCACATAGGTCAGATTTTATTTTTTTTTGTCACAAACACCTAATTTTTGGTCACAAATTAGCGAAATAATTTGTCACAGACGACTAAATAGTTGGTCACAGATTCCAAATAATTGATCACGGATTCCAAATAATTGATCACGGATTCCAAACACCCCCTTACACCGGTCCCGATCCAGCACCAATCTTGGCTACAAATCACCACCACCCAATCAACGCTTGCACTACACCACCATACCACCGTAACCACACCCAATCTAGAACCCATTCCACCACAATAGTTGGTCACAACCACCAACAACAACAATAACAAAAAGGACCACCACTACCCTGATCCACACCACCAATCATAGATCTGTTCTCGCCAAAACACCATGACAACCATCGTCACAATCAACCAAATATAATTGGTCACAAACACCCATTTCACATCCCACCCACAACCACCACATCACAGTCACGATCGCCACATACCACAGCAACCACAACAATAATCGCAACCATTATACGCCACAGCAACACAAAAACTATGCCGCCACAAGCCACAACAACCACCAACCAACCAACCACACCACAGCAAACAACACTAACCGCAACTATCACACACCACAACAACGCAAAAAACACGCCACCACAAACCACAGCAATCACCAACCAACCACATCTCAAACACCAACCACATAGCCAACCACACCGAACCGCAACCACAACGACGACAAAATCATCGCCACAAGATCGCACCATCTGAATCCATCGACTCCTCTCAAATGGTGTTGCTCTGGATCTTAGATTGATGTTGTTTTCAAATCTACAAGGTGGGCATGGAGGCGACGCAGCGGCATCACTAAGATGCATATCGGAGCACGTCATCACCGTCACCACATTCACGCAGAAGTGGCCGGCGAAACAACAAATCGTCGCGATCTGTGTGTACCGGTGAAACCATGGATTCAGATGTAGAGGCGTCGACGCTGGAATTGCGAAAAGCGATGGCTTTTCCCAGTAACGAACTCCGGACACCACCATCAACACCACAGATTGACGCACTGAAGCTCGTCGCGACGCTCAGATTTTGCAACAGTTGCGACACCAAAGCCCGTCGCAGCACCTACGCTCGTCGCGACGAGGCGAGGCATGTGGCGCTCAGTTTCCCCCATGCCAGTAGAGAGAAGACCTACGGTGGTCTCCGATGATCGAGATGTAGATGGTGAGAGAGCAGAGAGATGTAAGAGACAAAATGAGATGGAGAGTGAGAGGATGGAAAGGGGGATTTAAATTTTGATAGAAACCTGAATTATGCATTATTAAATTTTGTACCTGGTTTTAGAATTGTGGTTTTTAAACACCTGGTTTTTTGTAATTTCCTCTTTTAGTAAATAATCGTCACAAAGGTTATAGGCCCAATCTTGTCGCATCCATTTAAGAAAAGTGTGAACGTGTCAAACTTCTAATGAATAAAAATTCTCATTTCTTAGTAGTTTGAAGGGGAAACAAAATATATTTGACCATGTTTTTTTAGATCGATCACATATTCTCGATCCTATTATTTGGCTTAATCCTTTTCGATTGGGTTCTGAACTCTTTTATGAAAATCTTATTATACTATTATGCCCTCGTTTGACTCCCATTAATTTTCATTTCATTAGATTTCATTTATCTCTCTCCTATTTTCAACCTTACAATCTTCCATAAAATAATATTATACGTAAATCAAAAACTTTTCCTTCTTTTTCAACTGCTCATTTAAAAAAAAACACTATTTCATCAATTTTCAATTCTACAAATGGAGGGTCAAACGGTGGCTATATTGATAACGAAATCTCCAAATATTTCAAAGTACGTAGGGTTTCGCCTTTTATTAAGGAAATATTAATGTGTTCAAGCTTACTTGGCCCATTCGCACCCATAAATGTGCTAATTAGTACACCATAATCAACGAATTATTTTACAGCCTAGTTTGACAAACATCATTTAAGTCAACATCCTCCTAAGAAATCTACTCTAAAAAATGAATCGTGCTACAGAGCCCAGGTTTAAATTCAAGGCTCCAATCCAGGGCCGAGATGAAAACACCTCGACCGTTGATCTTCTACACTTGGGGGGCCCGCCATCAAAATCGAGGACAGAGGCTCTGCTACCTCTGCCCCTGGAACGATTCCGAGTTTTTCAGCATTTTCCCTAAAAATTATCATCGTACTTCACTTCTTCAAATATGTACTTTGTCCGTCCGTCTTATAAATATTTGCATCTCCACAAGCCCTGTTCTCTTCTTCCTAACAATTCTTATGGAAGCCATTTTGTTTCCTATATCACCATATTCACTCGATGCAATTCATTAGTAATGTTTATAATTCACCAATCTAATGAATTTAGCTCATGTGGTTTTCTAATTGAATTGTCAGAAAATTCGTGAATGTAATGTCCGCTTGGTAAATATTGCTAATTACATTTTCATCCTCGTGCCGAGTTATTGATATTTTGAGGAGTTGTCGAATTGCTTTACCGTCATATCAGACAAGTTTTGGTTGTATAATTAATAATACGAACATAACAATTTCGTAAATTTTCTTTTATAGTTTCATGAAAGAGAGAAACACAAGAAGAGCTCATTGCAACGCAAAAACACATCGTGGTTGCCTAGCATTGCAATTAGTTTTCTGTAAGAATTTTCTTTTGTAGAAATCAATGGAATTGGAAGTTCCCTTCTATAGTAAAATGCTGTTTAGGACGGAAGGAATTTACATTGGTTGTTTTGCCGGAGGTTGGATAGCGCCAATGGTAAGGAACTTAAAATCTTTATTATTATTGTATGTTTTGAATCCTATTTAATAATACATAACCAAAATGCTCTACTAGTAACATTCGAAATCACCATATAGTTGCATCCTTGATGTCAATGACGAGCTGAAATTGAAAGACTTTGTGTATCGATTATTTAGAGCTAATCTTGATGTGGACTACCTAAATTACTCGACAGAAGTCAAAATATTATTTATTATACTATACAGTCTTATTAATTAATAAACGTCAGACATCTCCAAAAACTGGAAGTCTGGAACATAATTGAATAAAGGTGCGGAAACTGGATTTTCTTGATCTGAAATCAAAGTGGGCCAATCATGTCTATGGATATTTTTCCCTATTGTGGTGTGTGTGTATATATATATATATATATATATATGAAAACGGGAGAATATTGTTTTTTTTTTTAAATGAGTGGTTGAAAATGAAGGAAAAATTTTCGATTTACGTGTAATATTATTTTATAAAAGATTGTATGGTCGAAAATTGGAGAGAGGAAAATAAAATGTATTATAGGGGCCAAACGGGACGCATTTGAAACGAGAATGGGACCAAAGTGAACACTTGAAAAAAACGTGTATAGGGTTAGCGAGTTTGAGACGAAAAAAAGGGTACATTGTTCCCTTAACTGTAAATCATGAATGAATTAAAATTCGAGTTCATCCTTATAAACACTGCAGACATTATTCTATGAATAATATTATTTAGCACCAATTTAAGTGACATAAGAGTTACTAAGTTGATTTTTAATAATATTATTTTATTCTTATACATAGTTTTACGATTTTACGTAAACCGTTATTTTGTGTAACTTTTTGCCTAGACGTAATCAATATGACCCATCCTTAAACAAATGTGATTCTCTTACTAAGCAATCTTTTGGACCTAACTTTTATTCCTAGTCAAAAATCATAGGCTTAGTGCTTGCATAATTAAAGGTTAGGCATTAATTACGTTAGCTCAAAGTCGTACATCTCTATCTAGAATGCCGATGAGGATAAGACGAAACACAAGTATTTTAGAATCTTTAACGTTGCATTGCAAGTTGCTGAGGGTAGAACATAGAAGGCTGATATTTTCAGAAGATATGCTACGATTAATAAAAGAAAAGGGGGAGACAAATAAAAGAAGGCATGTGATTACTTTCTGTTTCACCTCAAAAGAAGATTAATATTTTATTTTTGACTCAACTTTTTCCTTTGAAATAATTATTTGGTAACATTTTAAAAAATAAACATCACATCTTAAATTGTTTAAATTCTTAAATAATATAATTAAATAGAATACTTCTAAAGTGGACAAATATTTAGGTTCAGTCTCGTTGCATGTCAAACTTTTAATGAATAATAAATCTGATATGTGAAGATGAAAGAAAACGGAAAGTAAAATCATATATTGTCTTGTTTCTTCGGATCGATCATATATTCTCGGCCCTATCCTTTGGCTCAACCTTTTCCTACTGGGCTCAACTCTTTAATGAAAATCTTATTATACTCTTATAATGGTTTGTGCCAGTTCAATATTAATGTTCTAGAAAGTACTTTCAAGCAATAAGATTTTTAAATGAAAAAAAAGTTATTTTTAAACATAAATTCTGGTCTATAAAAAGCTCCTCAGCTCATATTCACTTCACTAGAAAATTCAAACACTGGCAACACAAGTCAAAAGATGGCAAAATTCAGCCTTTATCTTCTTCTCCTCTTATCTTCCCAATACATGCTTGTCATAGCAAACTCTGATCCCACAAACTTCATCAAGACCTCATGCAGAGCCACTCGGTACCCCGCCTTGTGCATCCATTCCCTCTTAACTTACGCAACTACAATCCGAAAAAGCGAGCTCCAACTAGCACAAGTTGCCTTGGGTATAAGCCTATCACGAGCTCGATCCGCCTCGAGTTTTATTTCCAAGTTGGCTAAGAGGCGGGGCACAAAATCGAGGGAATATCGAGCTACCAAAGATTGCATAGAAATAATGGGAGACACGGTCTATCAATTAAGCCGTTCTATCAAGGAACTAGGGGGGATGCGGCGCCGTTTCAATGGCCAGGATTTTGCGTGGCATGTTAGTAACGTACAGACATGGGTTAGCGCCGCTCTAACGAATGAGAACACTTGCATCGATGGATTTTCTGGGCCGGCCATGAATGGAAATGCGAAGGTTGCAATAAGGAAAAGGGTACTAAATGTTGCACAAGTTACTAGTAATGCACTTGCTTTGGTTAATCGGTTTGCAGATAGACATGGAGGTGAAGAAACCACAAATTTGCCTTGAGAATTTGAGATCTTGTTAAGTGGTTGTTTTTGTGTGTAAATGTTGTTAGTTAAAATCCTCGTGTCTAGTTCATGTGTTTGGGTGTACAACTCATGTAGCTGCTAAGTCCAGCAAAAGGGTTGTGTTGTAAATGGAAATCACCTTCCTTAAACAAGACTTGTTCTGCATTTTGTTCGACTGATGATTTTAGTTAGCTCGTTGAGTTGGACCGTACATATTCTCGATCAAATATATTAAAAAGAGAAAAATTTAGTAATCTTATTTGGTACTGTAAAATAAATATGTCTCCTGTTTTGTCCAACTTTTTTGAAGTTCACGTCCTTTTACTTTTGTAAAAGGGTTCGATATTGATGGTGTTTCCACAACTCCTTGAGTAAAGCCAACCACGCTTTGCAACAGCTTAATCAGGTGACAATAGCGTCTTCAATGTCCATAAACCAAACTGAAGGTTGTTATATTTACAGCACCATATATATTAGTTTTGACAGTCCTCTCACATATAGGGAGTGGGGTCCATGACTGTGAGAGGGCTGTAAAAATTTACAACATTTCTCAAACCAAAATGCAACTCAAAAAGTTTTATTGTCGTCTCCTGAGGCATATCTCAGTGGTGCAAAAGACAAAGATGAGGTATAATCAACTTTGCTGACAACCGCAATGAGGGTTAGATTACTGAAACATGGATTGAGACTCTTTGTTGGCACCAGTGTATAAGTAGCTCTTGTTTCCTAGCATGTTGAAACACATCCCACGATTAACCTCTCTCACGATGCTCTAAAGACGGGACAATGAGGGAACGTTAAAGTTGGAGTTCAACCTTTTCAAAAAGTTTTATTGTCGACAGCTGATAAATAGTACTCGTACTTTGTATTGGATGGCATTATTTAAATTTATTTATGGCTTGGTTTTCGAGTTCCGACAAAATTTTGCCCTCGTGTTGGCCATTTGCCCATTTCCCAAGGCACTTCTTTTTGTCTAGAGTCACCCTTCATCATATATTTAAAATAAGGTTTTGATTCCTGGAGTTAACACTGGGAGCCATATGGAGAGGAAGTCATTGGTGTGAACAAACGCCCAGCGAGGAGAGCTCTCTTTGCGGAAAGAGTCCAAATGAGTTGTGGGAACCTGGGAGCCAACAAGGGCACATCCTGCGATTTACCTCTCTGAGCTGCTGAGAGGCCGGAGGTTCAGGGACAAGGATTTAGTCGGACGCAAGCCCGGACACCTTGTAAAAAAAAAAATAATAATAATAATAATAATATAAGGTTTTGATACTCGATCATTATGCTCGAAATGAATCTAACTGGACTTTCAGTTAACCCTATTTTTTATCCAAGAATTCATCAAAAACCCACGAGGAAAGATTAAAAAAAAAATACTATTTAGCACCATTAATATTGTAACACTGGCACCAAGTATCATTAAATGATAGCAAATGGTCCCAAACTTTTGTCCATATTGCGAACTAATCCAAACCTTTCAAAAGTGGTACGTCCGAATCTTTTCATTTTTGGTGCAATTGATCCTTATGCGTGGACTCCATCCAAGAGGCTGTTGATTTTACAAGTGAAATGTTCTCTTTCTTAATTTGTTTTGGGAGATAATTGAAATTGAGGTCCCTAACCTTTCGAAAAGTGCACATGATCATGTACCATTCATTTTTAACAACACAAACCTAGCCTTTTATTTTCGTCCAAAGATCCACTACTTAGTGATTGACTTTCTTTTGACAAATTTTGCTGTTATTCCTTCGACTTGAGTAAGGTTAACACTTTAAGGTTTGAGTAATACTACTTGTAGTCGCTCGCTACAGTAGTCGCTTTACATAACATATACATGACAATTTGATGCATTAACATAGTAGTTTTTTTTTTATCAACTCATGCATCAAATAATCACGTGCCATATGATGTCACATAGGACGACTGCAAATAACATTATTTTTAAGTTTTATAGCTTACATGTGCAAAATTATTTTTACCTCATTATTGAGAAATTACTAGAGAGGTTGGGGGGATTGCACTTATTTTCTATTTAAGACGAAATATAAATTAATTTATAAAGTCCATGACAATTGCCTAATTTTAATTGTTAAGCATATCGGAAAAAAAGGCCGATGTTCCCGCCACAATTAGCGGGAGATTATTATAAATATTTTTAAGAAATTGTCATTTTCCATGATATTCATATTGTAATCATCATTTTTTCGATACAATCAAAAGATTTACAAAGCGTAAGAACACGAATGATCGATTTGAACTATGCCTACTTTTACTCTTGACGCAACCTACATTTTTTCATCAACTGTCGGCCGAGTGACAATTTTTTTTTTTTCTGCCGCATCAAGTATTTATATGCTACGTACGAACCGACTGAAAATATTTCAGTGTTCGTCGATAGATAAAAAGGCAAACGTACTACCTCAGATAAAAGGAGAAGATATATCCAACTGAATTAGGTTGAATATTTCGATTTTATGTATAATTGAATACGAATATAAATTTGAAAGAAGATTTTCATTTGTACAGAAAATTGTTCCATAGAATTCTGTTAGAAATTTCATATGTGTGGGACCTATATCATGATAAAAATGCCAAAAAATTTCCCCACGCATCCCTTGCCATTTCTAATCTATACGACTTCTGTGTGTGCAATTTCTGTATACACAACAAACTTTGAGATAAAATAGAAGGACACAAGTGCACATGGTTCCAGCATCGAAGAGAATCATTGTACGTGCAATCTGACGAATAGGCCCCCACAAAGTGAACTGCATACCACGTGAACCCCAATTGCCCATAGAGCATAATTGGACCAACTGTATAATTTAATTATGTGTTAAGCTTCTTGGACAGGGGATTGGGACAAGGGGCATGTGGCGCCCCCCTATTGGAGGGGTAGCGCCACATGCCCCCTGTTGCCAAACCCTGTCCCCCTAGCATCTCTCTTTAATTATTGTCTACACCTATTTGGGTGCTCCATCATGCTATATTAGGCCGAATAATGCTACTTCGACAGAAGAATCCGATGAGATGTAGTGACAGAAAAATATTATGAGGAGAGTTAAATGGATGAGACATTTGGCCGCGTTTAAAATAATTCAATGATCAAATGTCATGTGACATCATGTCAAACCTTTTATTTTTGTAGCGTGATTGATATTACGTCCTTGTTTGACCTTATATTATATTTTTTTAAAACTCATTTTAATAACATACTTTTGCACTAAAATT